CACACACACACACACACACACACACACACACACACACACACACACACACACACACACACGGAACCAGTGGGGAATCAGAGAGGAGCCACATCTTTCTGTTTCTGACCTCTGCTAACACCCGACTCATGCTTCATAAAGGAGATGAAAATTCTACCACTCATTATCAGCTGAAATTCAAGATACCCTAGTGACATTTGGTCACATAATAAAGTCATCTAGTGCTTTATACAAGTCACACAAAGTCTAAGATTTCTAAATCGGAAGTCACCGGCCTCTCCACTTAAAGTGCTAAATTTCCACACGTCTTAATGTCTGTGAGACACTGAGTCACAGCATGGCTCCTTACATTTTCTTCTGTATGATTTAATTATTGAATCCTTTTGGATCTGCATGGAATGGTTCCAAAAGTCATTACTGTTATAGCCTCCGACAGAACCCTGTGACTCAGGAGGGCCACTGTAACTGATGCCCCCCTTCCAGCCCCCTTCCTTCTGCTCCGAGTTTTCCTACTACAGTGTCTTTCTGTGTCAAAGTCCTGGGTTTCCCCAAACCAATCGATAACTATAACACACTCTTATATTCTAGGCACACTCATCTTCCGACATGCTTTTACATGTACTGTATTTTTAGTGTCATAGATATTGAAGTATTTTAAGCGCACGGAAGTAATGAAATCAGCCATGTGTAGATATCAGAGTGCCACTTAAATAGAAAACAAACACAGTAATTTTGATTTTAAACATTTTAATTTTCATATGAAATATTTCAACCATGCAGAAATCAATGGAAATAATACAACAGACATTCAGGTTCCGACCACCCACACTCAACAGATGTTAACTTTTTTTTTTTTAATATTAGCTTCAGGGATCTCTTTTATGTTTTAGAAGAAAGAGTGGAGATACAATGAAAACTGAAAACTGGGCTTCCATCCACAACTCCTTCCTCCCTCTCCGAAGGCCAAAGTTTTGTATATCATTACTGTACATAAATTTGAGCTGCTTTGTATATTTATATTCATAAGTGATTTATATTATTACTCGGCTTAAATTTTTACTTCAGTTGTCTCATACAATCTTTACCCTTTGCACTTTGCTCTTTATAGTGAACGTAAGTTTATACATGTTGACATAGTTAATTTAATCACTCCTCTTATGGAATTCTGAAATTGGAATAAACCAGCATAATTATTTATACATTCTCCCAGATGATGAATAATAGTTTGTTTCAACTATCTCATAATTTCTTTGTTGGAAGTACTTCCTTTGGGGGGTGGCTAGAGAGAGGTCTATTATTGATTTATAGGACGGAGAGGTGGTGGGGGGAAACGTGCACAGCAGGAGGGGTCTGAGAAAATAGGCTTCCGACAAGCTGCTAGTGTGGATTCTTTTTGAAGGACCAATGTTTTAGGTGAAGATCTCGTTTTATTCCCAGAAGTTAGGTACTGTATGATTTTATCACACGGAGTGAATAGCCTGTGATATTTCTTCTGGTATGTAATGTATCCTGTTTTCTTATAGACATGGTTTTGCATTTGATCCAACATGTATTTCAACAAAACGATCTCAAGCAGAAGTAGTCCTAAAAAGTACATTTGGTCTTCATGTGTCTTCTGTGAGCACACATTATATTTTATGGTGAAAGTATCTGAATCGTAAGCAAGTTGACAGTATTTAATAACTGCACAGAGCCTTGTCTGACTTTAAATGGAGTATTGACTGCATTGTTTCAGGTTTAGATATCATTCATCACAGGAGGAGGATCTGCCAATCTCACATTAATTCCTTCCCTCTGACTTGGGTTAGAATCATTTTTAGACATCAGCTGATCTCAGCACAACCTGCCGTGAAGGGTGTCTGGATGGATACTTCAGGTCCCCTCCATCAGCAGCCTAAAATCAGGTGCAGGCATAACAAGTCATACTAGTGCATGAACATTAGCCTAACTGTAAACCAGGCCTTGTGTCCTGGACGTGATCACTGCGAGCAGCACAATTCTCTGAGAGCACCTGAAAGTTCTGTGTCTCTTCCACAAGACAACTTGAATGCAAGCAGTCAGGAAGATGTTATTACAGTTTATATTTTAGCAGGGATGTTTATTGCTCCCTGAATATCCACAAACTCCCCACATTTACTCCCACTTTCCCGGCTGTGTGTGACCACATGACCAGTTCTAGAAAATGGGCTGTGAGGGATGAGAAATGTGTTTGCTGTGGGCACAGCATCTAGAGCCCCTGTCCAACACTTTGCTGCCTGACTGCTCTGGTGTCACATTCTGCAGGCAGCACCATCAATGGGCACAGAGCTGGACCCCTGAACCAGAAGACAGATTCCTGGAAGGACCCCACCAACTCACTTTAACTCCCAAGGCAGTGGTCTTTGCATACAGAAACATTTGTTCCCATGTGCTCAGCACTCACACCACAGGGGTTGTTCACTCATGGAAGAGCATCTCACATGCATCCCAGATCATGCAAGTCTTACTAGACTGATGGGAATGTGGGGATGGGGGTGGGAGCTTCATAAAATCAAGATGATTAAGAGCTTCTATCATCATCTAAAGAAACTCAGCATGTATATTCTGGTTGCGCCATTTGGACCTCTGTTTTCAATGCCTAGCTAGATGATGTCATCTAGCTGGTTGCGAGTGTGTCCAGACCTACGAATCTGAATTTTAACTAGACACCCAGGTAGTTTTTGCATACACTAAAGACTTAAGGTATGTCCAACCTTTTGACATTGCAACATGATCTTGTCATCTGCAAAGTTCATGCTTGATAATCACTGAGTTATCAAAGTCCCCTAGAATCCCACAAAAATGCTCCTAATATTTCCAGGAAGCTTGCCATTGTGTGGAGGTCACATTAATAGCTATCCTGGGGTACATGTGAGCCATGGAACAACACTGCCATTGCTGCAAAGCTACATCTCCCTCTCCAGCCGTCATTGGCACCGGGATTTCTCCTGTCAGGGTTACACAGTAGAGTGCTGAACTGCCTGGGCTAAGAAAAGAACAGCGATATAATATTCAGTGTGTGTGTGTGTGTGTGTGTGTGTGTGTGTGTGTGTGTGTGTGCGTGTGTGTGTGTGTGTGAGAGAGAGAGAGAGAGAGACAGACAGACAGACACAGACAGACAGACAGAGACAGAGACAGAGAGAGAAAGAGAAAGAATGAAACAGAGCTATGCACACACCCACACACACATGAGAGAGAGAGAGAGAGAGAGAGAGAGAGAGAGAGAGAGAGAGAGAGAGAGAGAGAGAGAGAGAGAGAGAGAGAGACTAGAGAAAAGATTTTACTTATCTTAGGTGAGTAGAACTTAATAGTTAGACCATGACCTTAAGAAATCTGCTCAAAATGCCACCACGGGCTTACCTTCTGCAGTCACCCTCCATGGCCACCGTTAATAAGCTTCTCTGGTTGTATCCTTTCTTCTCTGGCAGCATCATCGCTTCTTCCCTCTGTTTAGAAGTTAAAGGGGATTTTGGAGACTCATAGATGTGAGGGAAATGGATTTTAGACATTATTTGGAACCTTAATAGCAACTTTATAGTCAGAACGATTCTTAACTGTATTCATTTCCTGTGGGTGTTGTAAGAAGTCTCACACGTTAGTGACCCCAAACAAAATTAACTTATTCTTTTGTGGCTGTGGAGATGCAAGTTTGAATCACGATCTCTGGGTGAAGCCATGTGTCTCGGGAACACAATCCTGCTCTCTCAGTTTCTGCC